ACATGCACACCTGCACACCTGCGCACATGCACACCTGCACACCTGCGCACATGCACACCTGCACACCTGCGCACATGCACACCTGCGCACATGCACACCTGCACACCTGCGCACATGCACACCTGCACACCTGCGCACATGCACACCTGCGCAATGCACACCTGCATGCATGCACACCTGCGCACCTGCGCACATGCAAACACACACCTGCACACATGCAAACACACCTGCACACATGCACACCTGCACACCTGCGCACATGCACACACCTGCGCACATGCAAACACACACCTCCACGCATGCACACCTGCGCGCATGCACACCTGCGTGCATGCAAACACACCTGCACACATGCACACCTGCGCGCATGCACTCCTGCGCATATGCACACCTGCACACCTGTGTGCATGCAAACACACCTGCACACAAGCAAACACACCTGCACGTAAACACACCTGCACACATGCAAACACACACCTGCATGCATGCACACCTGCACGAATGCAAACACACACCTGCACGTAAGCAAACACCTGCGCGCATGTACACCTGCGCACATGCAAACACACCTGCGTGCATGCACACCTGCACACCTGTGCACATGCACACATCTGCACGCATGCACACATGCACACCTGTGTGCATGCAAACACACCTGCATGAGTGTGTGCCTGTGCGCATGCACATCTGCATGCACACATGCTTACACGCCTGCATGTGTGCACACACCTGTATGCATGAACACATGCATACCTGCACGCATGCAGACGCACCTGCATGCAATGCACGGATACACACTTGCACGCGTGCATACACACATGTACATCCGCACACATGTGCACCTACATGTGTGCGTACACATCTGCACACATGTGCAGCTACATGTGTGCATACACGCATGCACACCTGTGTGCACACACCTGTACATGTGCATGCCTACAAGTGGGCACACTTGCATGCACACATGCATGTATATGTTCACACCTGCACATAGACACTGCAGACATGGACGAATACACCTCTGCATACGCACTGCTATATGCACACCTGCTCGTGCACACACACGCATACATATGTGCATACTGAACACATGCATGCACATACACACATGTGAAAAGTGTATATATATTTTTTGTCTGCTCTGGGCCTTGAACTCAGGGCCTGGGCGCTGTCCCTGAGCTCTTTCACTCAAGGCTGGTGCTCTACCACTTGAGCCACAGCTCCACTTCTGGTTTTCTGGTGGTTCCTGGGAGATCAGAGTCTCATGGACTTTCCTGCCCAGGCTGGCTTTGAACTGTGATCCTCAGATCTCAGCCTCCTGAGTCGCTGGGATGACAGGTGTGAGCCACCGGTGCGCGGCTATATAAATTCTTCCACACGTGTAAATCCCTCTCTGCAGAGGAATTCCTCTCATATACAAAGTCATATAGATACGTACAAATCCTTCTGAAGGTGCAAGGCTTGTGTGCGCATGAAGTCCTCTCTCCGCATAGAAATTCTTCCCCATGCAGCTCTGGCCTCAACCCTTGACCCTGTGACCCCCTTTTTGTCCCCCTCAAGTCAGTTCCTTCTCCTGTTCCTCCTCTCCCCACGTCTCAGCCCCAAGAGGCTTTTGGGGGGTGGGGAGGGGGTTCCCTTCACTCCCTCCCCTCCCCTGCCCTGTCTTTCCGCTTCTGTTATCCTGGTGGGTTAAAAAGAATCAGGATAAAACAGGAGACACGTGATGTGGCCCTGCCCAGAATCCACGGGAGGCCCGGGGCCGCCGCGTGCGTGGTGACCCTGTCATTTATATTATCACGACTCTCTTCCTATCACTCGATACGTCATCCTCGCACCCGGCTCTGGAGTGATCCGTTCTGGGTGCGGCCTCTCCTCCGCTCATGTCAGATGAGTTCTAGAACACGTGTCGGGAAAAGAAGGGGGGATTCTGGGGAGAGTCTGCGAAAAGCAGCCCCACGAAGGCGGTGGCTGCGAACTTCCCACCCGGAGGTGCAAAGGCCAGTGCACAAACGTGCATTCGCCATGTGGCCGGTGGCCCACGCCTGTCATCCCAGCTACCCAAGAGGCCGAGCGGCGAGGATCGCGGTTCAAAGCCAGCCCTGGGCAAACATAAAGTCCCTGAGCCTCTGATCTCCCATGAACCACCAGAAAACCAGAAGTGGAGCTGTGGCTCAAGGGGTAGAGCACCAGCCTTGAGCGAAAAAGAGCTCAGAGACAGCGCCCGGGCCCTGAGTTCAAACCCTAGGACCAGCACACACACACACACACACACACACACACACACACACACACGTGTAAATGTAATGTCTATATGCGAATACAACATGCGTATGAATATAATACATGCACACACGAGCACATGCGTGCACACATGTGTGCACACAGCCCATGTGACTATAACTTGTGCAAACATGTGTGATAGGCCCGCGTGTAAACACGTGTGTGCATCAAACCTGCACGCAGGCTTGCATGCATGCACGCACGCACAGGCACACATCTGAAGACCGCGTATCTGTGCGTGTGCATATATGCAGTCCGCCCCTGTATTTGCCTTGCACACGTGAGCGTGCATGCAACTATAGCGCGCGCGCGCGTGTGTGCGTGTGTCACACATGCCCTGCGCTGGTGGGAAAGCCTCCATGTTGCAGTACCCGCGTGTGGGCAGCAGGGGGCGCTGCGTGCACGGCCGCTGCACCCTGGAGTCTAGCAAAATCCCTGCAAACGTTTGCATGCATGCATGCAGATTCCTGCACAACGGGGGGGCAGGAGAGGAGGGGGACCCCCCCACATCCAGAGTCCCCAAATTATACCCCTGGTGTCAGGAGACTTGACCCCAGGCCTCCCCCCCCAAACCCCCGGCCACCTTGCCAAAGCCCCTGAGCTTTGAACTCTGGTCCTGGGCACCGTGTTGAACATAGGACCCAGCACCTGCTCTGACAAGGAAGCCCATTAAAGGGGCTTGCCCACGGGGGGGAGGGGGAGGGGGAGGGTTCCTGATCTCCCCCACCCCCTTTCCTCCACTCGGCTCTATTCTGTCTTTTCATTTGATTATCTTTTCACCCCAGTGAGATTTTTTTTTAGCTATCTGTCAGTTGAGTTCTGTTTTTGTGTGTTCATTCTAACACCTTCCTGTCCGGTCTGTATGTAGCACGCTTTTCTTCTCAGGGTACCAACGCCCCCAGGTTGATCAGAGCTTGGGAACCCAAACTCTTTCCCTGTATCAGCCCCAGACTGACTTTTCTCCGAGCACCGGTGAAATGCCATGATGAAGGGCAGGGTCGGAACCCGGGAGGAGAGGCAAAGCTCAGACTACTGTGGGGGACAGCAAATACAGGGCCAGCCCCACACCGACCCCTGGAGGACACCGAGTCCCGACCGTGCTGCCTGGGGGCTTGAACTCTGGGCCTGGGCGCTGTCCCTCAGCTCTTCAGCTCAAGGCTGGCGCTCTACCCCTTGAGCCACAGCGCCACTTCTGCCACTTTCTGGTGGTTCATGGGAGATCAGAGTCTCACAGACTTTCCTGCCTGGCTGGCCTCGAACCACGATCCTCAGATCTCAGCCTCCTGAGTAGCCAGGACGGCAGGCGTGAACACCGGCGCCGGGCCTGGCCAGAATGAAGACTGACTGCTCACCTCCGCACACGCTCCACGCTGTCGTCCGTCCGAAGATACTTCTTGGTGTTCTCTCCCTTGCCGAAACTCGCACAGTCTTCTGGGTTGGCAAACACCTGACCCCGAATACCAGAGGGGGGGAGGAGAGGAATACGACAAATTATATACTAAATATACATCATGTATCAAATATATATATATATTAAAGCTGCTGGTCTTGGTGATCAAGGACATGTAGAGCAATGAATCCAAGGTGGGATAAGAGGAAGAACTTCCCACCCTTGTTCCCAGCAGAGGTAGAGATTCTCTGAAGACCAGGCGTGGGGGAAGGGGGCGGTACGTGGCTCCTCCTCATGAAAAGGCCACCAACACAATCCTCCTTCGAGTCTGGTGTCGCGGCTCCCGCCTGCCATCCCAGCGACTCAGGAGGCTGAGACCTGAGGATCACGGTTCAAGGCCAGCCTGGGCAGGAAAGTCCGTGAGACTCTTATCTCCCATGAACCACCAGAAAACGGGAAGTGGAGCTGTGGCTCATGTGGTAGAGCGCCAGCCTGGAGTGAAAGAGCTCAGGGACAGAGCCCAGGCCCTGAGTTCAAGACCCACTACCGACAAAAAATAAAAATGTGAATGTGTCCTATTGCTTGTTAATTTAGAATAATGAATGACGATGTCGTGAATAGGTGTGATCCGGTGGTGATGCATTCATGTGAAATGATAGCTAATTGTCCATTGTGATTTTTCATGAATTAATTATTGGAGTACAATGACAATGAATTAACTTATACTGAAACGCGGGTTTCCAATGAGTCTCGACGGAAGCCAGGAAAACTCATCCAGGTTACGCCGCTGCTAGCTTTGATGAACTCATTGTTTAAGCCTTTATGGTGGGGGAGGAGGGGGAGGAGGAGG